AAGAGGGGAAGGCAGAAAGAAAATGTGGACAAAAGCTCTCTAAGGGGAGAGACAGTTAATATTATCTTCTTGTGTATTGGCAAACTAAGATCCAGAGAGTTTACATGACTTCACTAAATATAGGTAGTTGTGTTTAAGAGGACCTGAGTCTTAAACTCCACTGCCATTTCCTCAATTCTTCTAGTTGTGGTGGTGTGCTGTGGAGTCGGTTCCAACTCATGGTGAGCCTGTACAGGTTTCCTGAGGCTGTAAATCTTTACGGGAGCAGAAAGCCTCATCTTTCTCCCACAGTACAGCTGGTAGTTTTGAGCTGTGAGGTTAGCAGCCCAGTTTGTAACTACTACGCTGCCAGAGCTCCTTTCAACTCTTCTAGGCAGTGTTTAAAAGTACCACAGAAAAGGATTCCATGGCCATATGAGTTTGAGAGACATTAGATACTATAGCCTTCTCTAGGACAGTCACAAGGCCCATTAACATATGAAAAGTCCTGCAAAGAGAAACCAGCTTATCTCTCATAGAAGTACCCACTATCTTGAATGTGGGGTATATTATTCCCATAAATATCTTGTTCTTTTCATCACATGCATCTGTCCCTAAGCAGTATAGGCTAGAGTTTTACATACCTTTAAATCCACTGTCATGGAGTCAATTCTTACTCTCAGTGACCTCATGGGATCAGTGACCCTATGGGACAGAATAGCACGGCTCCAGAAGGTTCCAAGAGCAGTCAGCCTCATCTTTCTCTATGCTGGTGAGTTTAAACTACTGATCTTTTAATTATACGTTAACACACGACACCAGTAGCACCCCTTTGTGGTAGTGGTGTGCTGTGGAGTTGGTTCATAGCAACCCTGTATAGGGTTTCCGAGCAGCAGCTGGTGACCTTGAACTACTGACCATGCAGTTCAGACAGTGCCACACCAGGCTGTAAATCTTCAAAGGAAGAGAAAGCCTCATCTTTCTCCTGAAGAGCAGTGCTGACTGTGAGGTTAGCGGCCTGACTCGTAACCACTACGCTACGGGAGCTCCTTTGCATTCCTTTATGGTGCTGTACTTTACTATACCTTTTGCAATTTCCTTTTTGTGCTTTAACATTAGATTTCTGAGATTTATTCACATTGATCCTATAGCTCTTGGTTGTTGTTTTTTTGTTTAACTACTCTATACTATTTCATTACGTGAATATGCATCTCAGTTTATTTAAGCATTGGAAACCTAGAATCCGTTTAGTTTTTATTAATATGTCATTTTCCAAATGTCATTGAGCACAAAGTAGTTAGTCAGTTCTGATCCACAGTGACCTGTATAAGGTTTCTGAGGAGCTGCTGATGAGCTTGAACCGCCTACCTTGCACACAGTTCCATACCAGGACCATATAGTCCTTATCTGCCCATGGTAGTTTGAGAAACACTTCATTTAGCATGGCAGCCTGTCTCAGTCAGTAAAGGCAAGGGATCTTTGCTGAGAAGATACCTTAATTGTATTCCATGTTATCCAAATGTAATTTTCCTAATTCTCTGTCCATGGACTTAGTTATAAATGAGTGATACTTAAATTGCTAGTTCTCTAGAAAGAAAATCAACATCCTTCCTTTCTTCATTTAGAAAGTCTTGCTTGTGAGAAGAGTCAGTTGAACTAGACAATGTGCTTAGTGACGCTGTATATATCCATATACTTAACTACTCAATCTTTGAAAATTTTAATATCTTGATATATTTTTATTGGCCCCTCATTGAGTGCCTGCTGTGTGCGAGGCCTTGGAAGTTAGAGAGCAGTGATATAAATGCTAATGAGTGAGTTTCTATCTTAGTTTCTGTACCCAGACTCTGAAGAATCTGGAAAAAGTAACCCCTATTCTTACTGTTTTCTGTTCTGACAGTATCTAGGATAAAGAGATGGTTCTTTTTTCCTGGGCCTTTAGAGGAGTAAGAAACAAAGACAACAAACATGGACTTCTGAGTGAGACAGACCTAGCTTTGCTTTGTATGCTGCTATAAACTTCACCCTCTCTGAGCACTGGTGGTGGTTACAGGATTTTTTGTGATGATTAATTGCACTACAAGCCCTGAATGGACCCAGTATAGTACAGTATGAATAGCTAGGGCTCAATACATGCTAATTTCTTTTTATGCCTTTTGTTTCCAAAACCATTTGTCAAAGAATGAGAGCAGATGCAAAGGGAAGTGGCTGTTATTGTTGTTGTTAAGTACAGTTGACCCTGTATAGGGTTTCTGAGGAGCAGCTGGTGAATTTGAACTGCCAAACTTCTCGTTCAAGCCGACCTTGCTGTCCAGTGCTTATCCTACTGCACTACACTGGGATTCCATGGCCAATCTTCAATATTCACATGTGGATGACACCCATGGGTACAAAAAGTAGAATTAATGGGGCTGTTTTGTAATCCTATCCTGTTTCTTTTCCACTAAAAAAAAAAAGTCGTAGTACCATGTCTTAGTTTCCTGGTGCTTCTGTAACAGAATGCCACTACTAGTTTGCTTTAGGCAACAAATGCATTTTCTCACAGTTTAGGAAGTCAGAGTTCAAATTCAGGGCACCACCTCAAAGGGAAGACTCTCTCTGTGAACTCTGGTGGAAGATCCTAGTCTTTTTCACTGTCTCCTAGTGTCAGTTTCTCTTGATTCTTGGTGATCTCCGCCTGGCATCTATCTTTCTTGTTTGTGCTTACTTGTCTTTGTGTCTGTGCTGCTGCGTATATTACTCTGAAGTAATGAGGTTTATACACACCCTCCACCAGTGTGGGTTCCTTATGGTAACAGAGAAAACCCTATCCCCAAAGGGATCACATCCACCAAAAACCAAACCCACTACCATCGAGTCCATTCCTACTCCTAGCAACCCTATAGGACAGAGTAGAACTGAGCCATAGTTTCTGAGACTGTAAATCTTTAGGGAAACTGACTGCTTCATCTTTCTCTTATGGAGTGACTGGTGGGTTCGAACTGCCTACCTTTCAGTGAGTAGCCCCAGTACCTAACCCACTGCATTACCAAGCCTCCTTTTCTGCAGGTATAAGGGCTAGGATTCTAACACATATTTTTGAGACACACAACTCAGTCCACACTAGGTATTTGTGAGGTGAGTAGGAAGACGCAATCAGATGCCTCAGTTCTTAAAGAGAATGGTTTCTAGGGAGAAAGCAGTGAAGTATCAAGGAATAAAGGTGAGTGAGAAATAAAGTATTACCAAAGTGTGTATCTGTCAAAACTTTGGTGATTTAACTATTACCTGTATGACATCTATGACACACTTTGCAATTCATTGATATAGCAGTGGTACATCACTTCCTTTAAGAGTTGCTGATCTAATGAAACATACAATAGGATGAATGTAAAACTAATGTTCTCCCATGTAAACTATCACATAATTCAAAATAAAACATTAAAAAAAAGAAAAAGAAAAAAAAAAAAATAGAGTTGCTGATCTCAACATCTTTTGAGATTTAGAAGTCCTCTTCATACCAACGCCCACCTCAACCTTAACTTTCCAAGCCATCTCTAGTACAATTGTGAGAGGCCAAACTGGAAACTTAGCCTGGCTGGGGCCGTTGGAGCGGAGCCATTAGTCAGAAGCTAAAGTGACCACTTTGGAGTTTTTCAATGGACTTAAGAGTTAAGAGGTATCCAGGTGTGGTGCTGTAGAATAAGCACAGTATTGCTAATGACAAGGTGGGCAGTTTAAATCCCCAGCTGTCCCTTGGACACCCTTTACAGGATCACTATGACTCAGAACCAAATTGATGGCACGTAACAAAAAGAGCTGAGATGCTTTCATGGTAGTTGGTTATGGCATCTGTAAAGGGTTTTCCACACACACATGTATTTTCAGGCTCATCTTGTTTTCATATTTCATTTTTTGCCATCCTCTTCCTGGCACCATCTTATTCAAGATACTATTCAACATACTCTTCCTGCTTTTCCTAGGTACTACCTAGATACTACCTAGACTTTAAGGCGCTCTTGTAGCATAGTAGTTAGAAGTTGGGCTGCTAGCCTTAAAGTCAGCAGTTCGAAACTACCAGCTGTTCCATGGGAGAAAGATGAGGCTTTCTACTCCTGTAAAGATTCACAGCCTCAGAAACCTTGTATAAGTTCGCTATGAGTCAGAACTGACTCCATAACACATATCATCACCACCACCTAGGCTTTGGACCCAGACCCTATCCTCATTTTCTGAGACCCTTACCTTCAGCTTTCCCCCTTCATCCAGTCAAATTTATCTCCTGGTCCATGTTCCCCACTGACTTTTCCTTAGGAGGGGTTGTTGGGATTGGGGGTAACCACCTCCTAATTTAGACCTATCTTTACAGGACCTCTACTCCCTTCTCTCTACAGTTTTGTCTCAGTACAGGACCTCAGGACCCACCAGCGTCTCCCATGCTGCAGCCATCTGGCCTGGAGCAGTAGTGCATACCAGATTTGGGCCCAAGAGGCTGGACCAGATGGGGACCCCCTGCCCCGGGAGCGACTGTTACTTTTAGGGACATTAACAGATCTATCAGGGGACTTGGAACAAGAGTGCAGGAATGGAAGCCTCTCTGTGAAAGATAACACTGGTATTGTGGGCTGTGAGGTAAGTAGGAAGAGGAATCAGATGCCTCAGTTACAAAGAGAATGATTTCTAGTGAGCAAGGCAATGAAGTATCAGAGAATAAAGGTGGGGGACATGGTAGATTGGTTGCTAGTGTCCTTGTTAACTCATGACCTTCGTCTTTTCTAGCTCATAGATCTGGACCTTTCTTGGCTGGGTCATCTCTTCCTTTTCCCCAGTTGGAGTTACCTCCCTCCTACCAAGTGGCATTCCTCAGGGGAAGGGCATTTGGAGCTCTGGGGTGCCCCTGTACCAGTTTTCCCCTTGACTGTCAGTCCTGGTCCTGCCACACCGATCCCTGTCCTCTACCCAGAGATTGCTTCTCGCCTGCTCAGACACAAGTAAGTCTTCCCTCTCTAGGGGAGGAAGGAACACTGAAACTTGGAAGATGCTGGTGGGTCAGTGGAAGGAGGGAAAGAAGAGCATCAACAGTAATATAGATGGAATGTTCCAAATCAAGGAAACTTTAGGGCTTTTTGGAATATTAAGCACAAGGTTCTTCAAGGGAAATATGCCTTATCTTAGGTCCAGGGGATAGAAGGAGGTTTTTAGAAAAAAAGTTTCAGGCTATGGAAGTTTTGTATCACCATCAGATTATTCTTTGCATAGAAGGGAAGACATTTGTAGGGAAAAGAAGAAAATTAAAAACGGCATCTTATTCCCTCTCTCCTTTATTCCCTCTCTAGAAGCAAACACAGAGTTGTGCAGCCAAACCTGGCTGGGAAGCTGGTTCGATTGAGTGCTCTGGTGAACAGTCACAGGAAAACGTATTTTGTGCTCTCTTTTGGCAGTTCATCCCCAGCTGTCAGCCATGTGCCCGTTGTTGTACAGGTGAGGACTAGGGTGGATTCTGAGGCATGGCGATATGAAAGGGGTGGTAGAACTCTTAATTATAAAGATAACATAATACAACAACAGCGTAACTGGGAGAACTACACAGGGAAGGAGGGCAATTGGGGAAAGACTTGTTTTCTGCAGCAGTGCTGTTGAGGGCAGGTTCAAGGTAATGTTTGTGTACAAGTGACAGAGAATAGACTTTGCCTGCCGTGCAGTTCACATGAGTAGAAAGCTTTTGTGTTGTGTATAAAATTTTGAAAAACTGCCAGTATTGCTAAGTTAAGAGGATGACCAAGTATATTCATCAAGTACATGTACTTTTTTAAAACTTGGTAAACTTATGTTGATACAATTTTTAAATGCTTGAGTTTTACACTAACCATAGTTTTATGACTTACATAATTATCCAAGTAATGTTTCAAAAATATTCAGAACAATTAAAGGATGAAAAGTTTAGCATGTATATATATATATGTCTCCAAGAAGGAAACTGGAATTTATTAGCATCACAATAATTCTTACCTGTGTGTGTATGTGTATGTGCCATAAACTTGAGTAACAGTGAATTAGAATGTAAAAAAACTAAAAGTGTTGAAATAATTTTTTTTATATGTTAAAACTAAAAGTCTTAAAGGCGACCCAAATTTCTGATCTTGTTTTTTCTCCCTGAGTAAAAGAGATTATATATTTTTCTTTGACATTAGAATGTCTTAAGTTTCCTAGAGACTATGAGAAAGTTCTTTGAAGGGCAGGGTTGGCTCATTCATGTATTAGATGTCAAGGGAGAACTCTCTGAAATGCACTAAGCTTCTGCAGAGTGCCTAAAGTATGCTAGACCCTCTGGATAGTTGATAATCTTAGTGTAGCTACTCCGTTGTGCTGTTTTATGAAGACAGTATCTAAGTTCTAACATGAGTGGTATAGTTTGTAACTACTGTAGGTCAGCTAGAATAGGCACCTTGATTGGCCTATGTCCTTTGGAAGTTCTCAACCAGATACGTTAGGTGTTAGTTGTTATTCAGCAATTACCATGCAGGGTTGTAAGTGCTAAGGGAGATTCATACACACGCATGAGGCACTCTGAGAGAGCTGGTGTATTTATGGACTGGTGAGGAGGCAGGGCATTTGAGGTGTGTTGCTCTAGTGACCCCTGTGAATGTCTTTATAATAGAGATGCAGAGGTCATCTGCTGAAAATGAGGGGCTGGGCTCTGAAAAAGGGAGTAATGCTTCAGAGTAACTGCTATGCCAGGTAGTGGAGGATAAGAGATTTCCAAACAGCAATGGGCTCTGCTGGAAAGGGTTGGCATCAGTGTTTGGCACTTGGGTGGCATAGGTCTGGATTCCTCAAATAGGGTTCTGCCTTTAAAAATGGATTTGAAGAACAGAGTTGTAGTGAAACAGTATTAGTAGACTGGCCTCAGGAGTGATGGGTAAAATTGGTAGTAAAGGCAGGATTCAGGGGATAGGCGTTCAGGTTCTAGTATTCAGCCAGGAAGCCACTGTTTTGATTGGATCTTTTTTGAAGGCACCCTAAGGAGATGGTGGCACAGTGGGGTAAGCACTGAGCTATTCACTTAATGGTCATTGATTCGAACCCACCATTTTCTTATTGAAGCAGAAAGATGTAGTCTGCTTCAGTGAAGATCTGCAGCTTCAGAAACCTTGGGGAGCAGTTCCACTCTGTCACTGAATTGGAATCAACTCCATGGCATTAACTGGAAACCTAGAAGCAATATATTTGACTTATATTAGTATTAGACAAGAGGGAGAAGATTAATGCATTTCTCTTATCTGTCCGTGCCATCCAGGGTACCTATGTACTTAGTACATATTGGTGAAATAAATGAAGGTAGTTTGTATGTTATGGGATAGAGAAAGAGGAAATTCTGAAAGGGTAGAATTTTCTCCATGAAATATGTATTTGAAGGAAGTTCTACGGATGGTTTCCATTTTGGGAGAAAGATTAGGAAATAGTCCTGAAAGTTCTGTGGCTTGAAATTTAATTGGCAATCGGAAGATGAGGAGGTAGATGACAGACTATGATGAGCAGAATCTTTGAGGCCAAGTCATAATGGAAAGAGACTCTGCCAGAGGGGTGACTTCCATGGGAAATGGCTCATGGACCTGCTCTCTGCCTCTGTGTAAGCTAGGTACCTGCCCAACTGGTATGGCATCGTGTCCTTCGGCCTGGTCAAGCCTATGTGTTGACAGAACTGCGAGTATCCAAGATCCATGATCACCATTACCATGTTTGGACGACCAGTCCCTCCTCCCAACTGTTGCCACTGAAACCAGAATGTGTGCAGGAGTTGGAACTGGAGCTGGAAGGACCCCCCTTGGAGGTTGACCCCAAGCCACTTCCTATGCCCAGCAACTCTCTGGACATGAAGGGGAAGAAAGATCTTGTCCGGAACTCCAGACTTCTGTCATATTCTGTGAGCATAAGGGAGTGATCCTGGAATTGAAGGAGCAGGAAATGTGGGTCTCCAAAGAGGAAGGAAATAATGCTCAACTGAACCTTTATGCTCTATCTGCAGGGAATGGTCACTAGCATACTGAATGAACCTGCTGGCCTCTATGAGCTGGACGGGCAGCTGGGACTCTGTCTCGCCTACCAGCAATTCCATAGATTCCGACATGTGGTGCGACCAGGAGTCCATCTGGAGGTATTTGAGGACAAGAAGAGGCCCACTCATCAGCTTCTCTTATCTTTATAGGCTGATCTTTTTTGAAGCACAGTGGGAACCTCTATATAAAAAACATAAGAATAGTAAGTAATGAGTTGAGAGAGTGCTTTTGTTAAGAATGGTTTGGGTGAGAGTTCAGAGAGGACTTCCAAATCTGAAAGGAGTAAAATCTGGTCTGCTGTGAGGAAGGGTGAGGTCAGGTATTTTCTTTATAGAAGGCTTTCAGAGTGCAGAACGAGATGGCTGGAGCTGACACATAGGTATAGTGCCAGGACGACACCAAGTGACCTGGTGAGGAACCTTGGCCACCCCTGCCAACAGGAGCCACCAGGCTGATGGAAAGACACAGTGGGAAAGTTTATGATGAGGAAGTCGGTTTTAATAGAAGGTTAGGCATGGAGGCTGAAAAGAAATACTAGTCCTTGTGAGGGGGCTTCAGAAAGGTTCATGGAGACATTCCATTATCTTTCCATTTCATTTTTTCCATTAACTTTTTGATGCCCCCTTGTATATAGAAATCATGTTCCTTCTTCTGAACCCTAAATAGCAGAAACCTGCAGTGAAGTTTGTCTGGAAACATTTAGTTGGCGGCTTCACCTCTGCCTTTTTCACTTTCTAGCTCCATGATGCTCACCTTCTGCAGTCTGTGGGTGGAGGAACCAAAAGGCCAGTGCTTGCTAGCTGCCTTGGTGGTGCCGTCCAGTTTCGTCGCTTCTCTCGGCAGAAGCCCAAGATTCAGTCATCCCACCCAGCTCATGGGGCCTCTCTGTATGAGCAACTGGTGTGGGAACATCAGTTAGGACTTCCTCTCTACCTGTGGGCTACCAAGGCCCTGGAGGAGCTGGCCTGCAAGTGAGTAGGATGAGGATCTGGGGTGGGGAGCGGTGGGAGTGGGAAACGGGCTCTGTAAGGGAAACAGATCCTTGAAGAGATGAGGACAGTAGCAGGGAGCTTGGGCCTGTGAGGGAAATGACAGTTTCTTTCCCTGGCCAAGGCTTTGTCCCCATGTGCTGAGACATCACCAGTTCCTGAAGCAGCATTCTCCAGGGAACCCCAGCCTGGGACTACAACTTCTGGCTCCTACCCTGGATGTTCTAGCTGTGCCAGGCAGCCCCATTCGGAATGCACACAAGGAAATTCTTGAAGAGCCGCATCATTGTCCCCTCCAGCAAGTATGAGGCTACGCAGGAAAGATACATGGCCTAACGCATTGCAAGGGCTGTTTGTAACACCTGATTTCTGTTTTCTCCCTATCAGTACGTTCGACTACACACTTCCTGTTCTTTCCCCACTCTGGCTAACCTCAAAGAGGAAGGGCAGTCCAGGGCCTGGGCCTCCTTTGACCCTAAGGCCCTTCTGCCCCTCCCAGAAGCTTCTCATCTACCCAGTTGCCAGCTAAATCACCGCCTGGCCTGGTCCTGCCTCTGCCTGCTGCCCTCTGCCTTCCACCCAACTCAGGTAAGTGGGGCACCATCAGGGCACCATCTGTTTTCCATCCCCCCTGTCACTACTATAATTCAGGTCACTGTTGTTGTTGTTTTTAATAATTTGTATTATTATTTGTTGTTGAGACTATGCACAGCAAAAACAATATACCAGTTCAAATTTCTGCATGTACACTTCAGTGACATTGATGATATTCTTTGAGCTGTGCAACCATTTTAATCCTCCTTTTTTGAGTTGTTCCTCCCCAGTTAACATAAACTCACTACCCCCAAAGACTCTAAGCTAGTCTTTCTAGTTACTATTGTCAATTTGATGCCATCTGTGGCGCTATAGGGTAAGCACTGATCTGCGAACTACAAGATTGGCAGTTCAAACCCACTAGATGCTCCTCAGAAACCCCATACAGGGTTGCTATGAGCCAGAACTGACTAGACAGCACTTGACAAAACAACAGTGTAGACTTTAAAAGAGCATAAACTCCAAAGCAGATATTCTTTACTATTTAAGCTAAATTTGTTTGATTTTAAGAAAACTTCAGGACATACTTCTGGTTTAAGGTTTGAAGATTATCTCTGGGCAATAGTTTTGGGGCTTCATCCAATCTCCATGGCTCCAGAACTTCTAGATTTCATGAGAATTTGAAGTTGTGTTCTGCATCTCCCCGCTTTTGATCAGGATTCTATAGAATCTTTTATCAAAATACTCAGTCGTACAAACAAACAAACAAACAAAATACTCAATCATGGTAGCTAGGCACCCTCTGATTCTTCTGGTCTCATAGCAAAGGAGGCACTTGTTCTTGGAGGCAGCTAGCTACACAATCCATTACTTCTTCCTATTCCTGTCATGTTTTGTCATTTTAATTGCTCTAGCTTTCTAACTCTACTGCCCCTTTTATTCTTGGCCCCCCTAGTTCATTCTCCTTGCAACCACTAGAGAGAGTTGGGGGAGATGTAACTCGGGCTGCATAACTGTCTGTCTTGCTTATTCAATCCTTTCCTTGGTTCCCTCAGTGCAGATAAGATGAAGCCCACATTCCTTATCATGTCCTACTTCTAAACTTAATTTGTATCACTTTCTCTCCCACGACTAAATTTGTGAAATGGTCTGCATTTAAAAGATATTTGCACATTTTTTCATCTCTGTTTTTCCCTGTTGAATATATCAGTTCTGTATAGCTCTAACATTGAACACAGTGCTTGGCACTTAGGAAATGCTCAGTGTTTGTGTAAGACTTGACCTTGTTTGCACTGCAGGTTTTGCTCGGGGTTCTTGTGGCTTCATCTCGTAAAGGTTGTCTGCAGCTTCGGGACCAAAGTGGTTCCCTGCCCTGCCTGCTCCTGGCCAAGCACTCACAACCCATCACTGACCCTCGGCTCATAGGTTTGGAGTTCAGAGGTGGAGAGAAGATGGTGGCAGGGTAGAGATTTTTAGAACCTGGGAACCTTGGAGGAAGCATCTCCTCTCCTGGGATTTCTTAGGGCCATTGAAGTGACAAATGTGAATCAACACCATTTGGGAAAAGTTTGGTAGACCTGTATTGGCAGGTAGACAGAAGGAGTGAGGAGATCCCTAGCCAGAACTGCAATTCCCAGCGTTGACTACTCCCACCAGAGATCCTAACATTGTAAGCCAGGATTCTAATTCCTGCGTCCCATAGCCTTAGTTGGGAAGAATCATGGGTTTATTTGGGTTTACTAGGGTTTTTAGACAGGGAAACCCTGGAGAGGAAAGTTCCTTAGTAATGGGCACTTTAGGGATCTGTGAGAAAGTAGAATCAAGGCTTTAGCTTTAAAGGCTAAAGAGGCTGCAGTGACATGCTGATGAAATGCTCCCTTCCTCCATCCCTCAAAGGTGGTGTCAGCTCTGGACCTGCAGGTTATGTTAGGGGAGCAGCACTGGCCTGCAGGGTGATCTGCTCCACTGCATAGCCTAAGCTCTCTTACCAGAAAGAACATTTCTTCTTCTAGGCTGCCTGGTGCAGGTAGAGAAGTTCCAGCTGGTTATAGAGAGGGATGTCAGAAGCAACTTCCCATCCTGGAGGGAGCTGAGCATGCCCGGCTTCATCAAGAAGCAGCAGGCCAGGTGCTGTCTTTAGGGGAGAGTCGGTACTTCTGAATACCTGAGGGGAAGGAGAAGTGCTGCAAAGGATGGAGTACTACGGAATAAGCATGTGCTTCCTCTTCTCTCCTGACAGAGTCTACGTCCAGTTCTGTTTGGCTGATGCCCGCATCCTGCCTGTGCCTAAACCCTTCCTTCACTCATCCACCTCCTCAAGACTTCCACAAACAGATTCCACCCACCCAGACAGACTCCACACAGGACAGAGCCGGTTATTCTTGCTATCCCACAAGGAGGCCCTAATGAAGCGGAACTTCTGTGCTTCCCCAGGAGCTAATCTGGAGGAGCCCAAGCCCACCCTCAGTTTCCATGTGTCAGGGAACTGGCTTGGGTGCACCCAGAGGAAAGAAGGGACTGGATGGAGTACGCTGGAGCCCCAGGGAGATGAGAACAAGGATCAGAAGGTAAACTGGGACTGCAGGACCCTAGACCCGCCCTCTTGTGCTCCAGCTCCTAACTGGGGCCTGCCCGCTCCCTGCTCTTCCTCATCACAGGTTCTCCTCATCTTCCTCGGCTCTTCAGTCCGCTGGTTTGAGTTCTTGCACCCAGGGCAAGTGTACCGACTTGTGGCTCCAGGCCCCCCAGTGAGTGTCCTACTTCATCTCACTTTTCCTCTTTAGGCTTGATTTTTGGGGAGGATAAGCTAGTGACTGTCACTCTAGGATTCCTAGAAGACAGAATTCTGAGAAAATAGAAGACCAGTGTGTGTCTAGATCACTTCCTTTACCAGACTCCAGAAAGCAGGCAAACTTGGGCTGTTGTTTTTTATGAACTTCCCTTTGGACCAGAACACACTCAGAAACTGTCAACCACCTCCCTACTTCCTGGCAGACACCAACGTTGTTCAAGGAGGGCGGTTCGTCCTGCGTATCTCAGCAACCTTTGGAGCTGGCTGGCTGTGCCTCCTGCCTCACTGTCCAAGATGAGTGGACGCTAGAGCTTGAGCGTTCCCAGGACAACGTGGATGTGTTGGATGCAGATAAAGCACTTTGCAAATCCTCAATAACTGACTTCCTCAGTGGCAAGTAAATGTCAGGCCCCTCCAGCTTAGCTAATTGCCCCCAGTGTGCTTGGGTTTGGTAAACAGTTTGCTTCCTGCTACCGCATATGTTTCTTCAGCATGCTTTCTCTCATAGAAGAATTATGTCAGTATATGATGGAAATCATGTTTCACATCTGATTTTTCCCACATGCTTGTTTTGGAGTGATCATGAGCAAGCATCCCTCAACTAAGGGATCCAACCCAAAACGAACCCTTTGCTGTCAAGTTGATTCTAACTCATAGCCTCTATAAAGCAGAGTAGAACTAGCTGATAGGGTTTCCAAGGCTGTGATTGCTGTGGGTCAGAATCAGCTTGACGGCACTTAACAACAACCACAATCTTTGAGGAAGTAGACTGCTGCATCTTTCTCTTGCAGAGCCTCTGGGTGGGTTTGATCCATCAGCCTTTTGGTTAGCAGTCAAGTGCTTAACTACTGCCCCACCAGGCCTCCTCCTTCCACAGTTAAGGAAAGGCCTTAGCAAATAAAAGGAAAAATTAAAACTAGAAAACAGAAGAAAATACAAGGAAAAAATTTGAAAATCTAAAGAAGGGCCTTCTTTTATTTTAGTACAAGAAGGGTCTGGTGGGTATCATCGTGAAACTATACTTTACTCATGTAAGCTTCTTGGGTAGCTTACAGGGGGTGTGAGCCCGGGGAATAATGATGGACTGATTGTGATTATAGGTATGAATTGGAGTAGAAATTCAACTGTAATTTTTTGTTAAGCGTTCTAAAGCTATATAGGTTTTGAGTCATCTGTGTCATCTTGATGATTAGCCCTGTTACTTTTACTGTGCCATTTGGCAGAATTTGTTCAGGATCTCATATATGGTGTTTTAGTGGAAATGTCTGCCCTTTAGCTCTTTTTGCCATTGTTTGACCTGACTTTCCATTGTCCATGTATCTGACTCTTCAGCATCACCGATTCCTTGGTGTCTTTCTCAGCGGAGATTTTGTCACGGACTCTGTGTGAACCACTTGCAACCTCTCTTGGAACAACGCCGGGTAAAGACACCTCCTTTGGGGGAAAGCTGTGAAATACGATGATGGGACCTTGTGGTCCTGACAGATAGACTGACTCTCCCCTTACCTTTTGCAGGAAGCACCGGTCCTGTGAGAGAGTGTGTGAAACTCACTGTAGCTCTCAAGAGCACTGGCTCTGAATTTCCGCCTCACTTGAGCATATACATCCAGGACCCACACCTGCCTCTCCCACTAGGACTCCTTCCAGGAGCTCGAGTCTACTTTAAACAGCTAGAAAAAAGGGTTTCCAGGTGAAGAGTTAGATTGACCGACTGCCTCCTCTCCCTCTAAATGTTCTTTTTTTTAATTAAAAGAAAATTTTTGTTTACTTTTTATTGTGAAATGAATGAAGGTAGTTTTCTTAATTTTTGTTGTGGTGAAATATATGCAACACAGCACTTCAGCCATTTTTATGTGTACAATTCGGTGACATTACGTGTCCTCACTATCTCTTCCTGCTCACTCCTACTCGGAATGTTCCTTCTGCAGTGAAACTTCTCCGTGATACTGCTGGTAGTTTGGCTTTTATCTCCTCCATCCCCATGAGATGCTCTAGACCAGCCCTTCTCTATTCTTCTCTCAGATTTGGTAGAGCCAGGACAAGTCCTCAGGGGGAATGGTCTCTGAAGTCTGAAGTGATCTCTAAAGTCCCAGCTTCTACCCCAATTTAACTTCTCTCCTCCCCATCACTCTTACTCCTCCATGTGCAGATCCCACAACGTGTACTGTTGTTTCCGGTCATCCACTTACGTACAGGTCCTGAGCTTTCCTCCGGAGACGACCATCAGGTCAGTGTTCTGGGTCCTGATTTCTCACTTCACTGACTCTCATCCACATGATCCTGTCTCTGGAGTTTCTTTTTTTTTGGCGTATTTACAGTCTTTTCCAGTCCCAGCAGAAGGATTTCCTCTCTCCCAAGTTAAAAATGTCCAATACCTGTCATAAAGATTTAGTGCTTCCTTTAGGAATTGCCAGTCTTTCTTTCTAAAATGGAAATATATTTCAGCTAATATCTTGGTTGTGCTAGCCTGAGAATCAATTGATGACTATAAGAGATCAGGAATCAAAGATAGAGACCAAAGAGTAGTGTTCCGGGAGAGCACTGTTGTTCCTGCTAACTCCCTCCAGACCCACCCTGCTTTCAGAAACCCTTTGGCTGTTTCTTGACCCCTGTTTTTCTCTTTAGCACCCCCTTGCCTCATATCTACCTGGCGGAACTTCTGCAGGGTCATCAGGCCCCCTTCCAGGCCACTGCCTCTTGTCATATCGTTTCTGTCTTCAGCCTTCAGCTCCTCTGGGTGTGTGCTCATTGTACCAGCCTGTGCCCGCAGGTTTGTGAGGGGGAACAGGCTAAGCTGGGTGCAAGATGCCAGAGGAAGTAGATGGAACTGAGGATTTTTCCAACCACTTTTTCATCCCAGGGAAAATGTTCTCATCAGGGCCCTGCTTGCCCCACGCAGACATCTGTAAGCCAGGCCAGAATCAGGTGAGAGCACAAGGCAGGCTCGTTTTATACCATTTACTTTTCGATTGATTGTATGTGACCTGCCATGTTTTCCTGGGCTCTGTAAAAATGTTGACTGTATCATGTTATCCCTGTACTAGCAGACTTCCTGGCTTATGGGAGTTGTGTAATATTTTTTGAATGAATGAATGAGGGTAAACGTGAGCTAAAGACTCGAAACAGAGTAGGGAAGAATCTTACATCCAGAAGACTGGTGCTCAGTAACTGTTGTTCTCTGCAACTCTCTCCCCAGGATCCTGGTGGAAGATGGCACTGCTGAAGCTGTGGTGACCTGTAGGGATCATCATGTGGCAGCAGCACTGGGGCTGTGTCCTAGTGAGTGGACCGCCCTTCTAGAGTGTGTCCGAGCTCCAGGAAGAGTGGTCATGCACTTCACAGGGCCTGGGGCCCAACTTGAGGTGAGATGCCATTGAGAGGTGGGGGCTCAGACTCCTGGTGGTTTAGTAGGGAGTTTAAGAACCTAGGTTCTGATTAATCCTGATGAGTTTCCCTTCCTAGTCCTCAGCCAAGACAGATGAACCCTTGACCCTCTTCCTCTGGACACTTTGTACCAGCCTCTTTGTCCTTCGCCCGATTATGCTTTCTTTCGAGCTTGAGAGGAAACCTACCAAGATCCTCCCCTTAGGTAAGGGTGGAGTTGGTGGGAGATGGGCAGATAGCTAGCTCCTAGGGTGGCTTAGTACTATAAGCACTGGACTGCAAACAACAGGGTTGGAGGTTGGAGACTACCACCCACTGTGCTGGAAAAGGATGAGGTTCAGAACCCCTATAGGAGATTGTGATGAGTCAAAATTAATTTGATGGCACGTAACAATGAGAAGGGGGAGGATGGTGCTTTCTGGAGCAGGGGAGAATGATGGTGAGGACTAAAACCACATACCTGGGCATGTGTTTTTTTTTCTCTTCCCATCTTAGAACCTCCCCGGCTACAGCGTTTCCAGTGTGGGGACCTTCCTCTCCTGACTCGTGTAAATCCCAGACTTCAGTTGTCATGCCTCTCTATTCAGGAGCCAGAGCACCCTAGCTCTCTGGGGGCTTTTGCTGCCACCTGTTAGTCTGGACTGCAAGGATGACCTGAAAGCTCTCCTGGCTTTGTTGGACACCTTACGGCCTGGGTCCTGGCTCCTTCCTTTTGTTGTTGCCTCTGCTTCCTCTGTGATTGAACCAGGAGCCTAAATCCTTGGATTCACAAACTGCTACCTCACTGTAATTTCTCCTCCTTGGTCACAGGACCTAGCATCATGCAGCTAGCCTGCTTTTGAGGGGAATTCTAGGAACAGAAATCATACTCTTTCTCTCTGGTTGGGGCCAAGATACTTGTACTCACAAATAGCCCTGAACACCTGGGTCCTGCCTTAGTGGCAGTGACCAGAGAAGCAAAAACTTGTATCTTGTTTGGAGTGATGATGACAAGTCCTTGACCTACAATAAAGCTTTCTAGTAGCGATTCCTCACTTATGTGCATTACGGGGGTCCTAGTTGTCCTGCTTCCCTCACATCCACCTGTTGCTCCCTTGTTGTTTTCACTCTTATTTACCACTATTGCCAGAGCTGGAAAGAGGCGTAGAGGAGAGCTACAGCGTATGTCCACAAAGACCTTCTGAACCAGCAAAGAAAATTATACCAGAAATCAAGAACCAGAAAGGGAAAGTCAGTCAGAAGTGGGGGGCAGGGCTATGGTGGTCTCAGTTAGCAAGGTTGGTCCCTAGAGCTCACGTAGAAGAGACTAGAGTTACTGGGAGGCACAAGATCAGGGTGGGGAAGGGGTGTGCCAAGCCCTAGGTAGGGCATGTGAGGAAAGAGTGTCTATAGTTCATACTATGGAACCCCAACCAGTCATAGGTGCTGTGGACAGGTGCTTAATCAACACCATGAGACCTGCGAAAACGGAATCAGAACCCACAGAGATAGGGGTTAAGTGCCAGCTTTGCGGGTCAATTGACCTTGCAGTCCAGCACATTATCCTGCAGCACTACACCGGGATAATGAGTTAAGATTGCAGGAATTGGAGTATGGTGCTATAGGATAATCACTGGACTGCTAATCTTGAAGGTCGGTGGTTTAAACCCACCAGTCCCTAGTTGCTATGAATCAGAACCGTCTCCAAGGCACTTAACAACTTGCATTTTGGCTGCAGGTACTCCCTGATGGAGAGGTAGGGCTAAGCCATACCTCTTAACAGCCGTTCAGAAGGCACTCGCTTTTGGCCATCTGGGATGGGTTCTAGTATGTTTCAGAGGCCTTTGGAGCACCTTTATTTGAAAGTATCTCTTATAATCTAGGGGTTGTAACGTAAGAATAGGGTTAATACATAAGAAGAAACAAGTGGTAACTATTTAGCGTGCGGCCGGTTAGCTCAGTTGGTTAGAGCGTGGTGCTAATAACGCCAAGGTCGCGGGTTCGATCCCCGTACGGGCCAGAGGTGTTTTTTTGGTTTTTTCACCCTTCTCGGAGAAGTTTCTGCCGGAAACCAAAACTACGTTTTATCCGCGGCTTCTCATCAACCTCAATTTCTTGCACACTCCCAAGACTTGGAATTGGGATGCTCTAAGGTTGGAGCGGAGGAAACATTCTTCCATGTTGTTTCTTCCTTGATTGTGTTGTTGAGACCGGCAGGAGAAATGGGAAGACCAGGGAGAAGAATCCCAGAAAGGCGGACAGTAGTGGGGCGGAACCGTGAACATTTGTTTTATGCTTCGACCGTTTTCCAGGTTGAGGTGGTATAAGTCAGAATCAACAAGGACTTGAAAGAAGCAGACAGCCTTACGGTGCATGAAAAACTAAGAATGGTACAGGACAAGACGAGCGCAACATTGTCGTGTAGTCGTGGCCGAGTGGTTAAGGCGATGGACTAGAAATCCATTGGGGTCTCCCCGCGCAGGTTCGAATCCTGCCGACTACGAACTGTTTTCCTTCAAAGTACTGATGGTGATTCAGTCTTCACCACTGACAATTTCCCGGTTTTGTGATTCCCTGATATAGTTCATCTTGGCTATGTATTTGAGATTTCGAGGTAATTCTTTTAACAATGGGGTATTACATTGAGTGAATGAATGGAGCAAAACGTGCAGATTCGCCAAACTGAATTTAGAATAATCTGAAAAAGTTGATAGAATGTGCGCAGGTTCTGAGCGTTATATTCCTGTAGGACACTTTCCACAAAGTCGTCACCAGCGTTGGCGCCGTGGCTTAGTTGGTTAAAGCGCCTGTCTAGTAAACAGGAGATCCTGGGTTCGAATCCCAGCGGTGCCTTTATTTCAGCTACTGGAGAAGTTCAGATTTTGTTGCTGAGTCCACATCTATTAAGTTGTTTGTTAGTTTTTTAGAGACTGAAAAATCGATTCTGCTCTCAAATCACCCAAATTTCCTGCTGAGATATCCGCCCTCTAGCAGAACAGGAATCTTGCGCCCAGCTGACACCGTATTCCTCTGGCGGGCTCTCTCTCTAGCAGATAGGCCACCCTAAACGAGGAGGTGCCCCACCACCCAGTCTTCTTCCCCTACACCAGTATTACCCCTAGAACCTGAAGTCGTTTTGTTTTGCTTTTTTGTTGACTTCGGGCTACTTTTCTAGGGAATGGACGGTGTGGCTTCTAAGTGCAGGTTCCTATCAGGGCCTTTGATTAGAGTTATTTCTACTCCTCTCCACAAGTGGGCAAAATTAGGAGTTAACAGGAGGAGATAGATAGATGGTCTGGCGCCATCTAGGCTTCTGCATGAGGGTGCTGAATAGCCAGGATCTTGTGGACCATGAGGGAGTAGAGATAGAAGAGAGCGCCAGTCGAGTCTCCAGAGATCATCGCGTGAAAGGGCCAGAAGCATTTCTGCAGCACTGAAGTCAGGTTGGTGAGGATATAAGTAAATGCTGGGGAGGAGACGAAACATCCATAGGCTATCTGCATATTCTAAACCTCCTTGGAAGTAAGGCAGAAAGGTCGAGACATTACCCTTTGGCTCAGGAACTGTTGTAAGATGTCTGAGCAAAAGTGTTGGCTTGAATGAATTGCTCTCTCCAGGTGACACGTAAAAACAAGTGATGTGACCATGTTTGTGCCAAACACTGAACTGGACACTGCACCAGATGAATAAGGCACAGCCTCTTTTCTCAAAACACTCACAGGAAAATACAATCACAACCCAATGCACTAAGGGCAGTGACAAAGAGGGTCAAGGTCAGTAGGAATACGAAGAAGTAGCAGCTCATCAACCTGTGGGTGGAGAGTAGTCAGAAAAGGCTCTCTGTATGAGGGAAATTTAAGTCTAAAGGAATTTGCTATCTGTTCTATTGAACAACTACTGTGTACCAGCCATTCTGTAGGAATATTTGTTGTTGTTGTTAGGTGCTATCGAGTTGGTACCGACTCATAGCGACCCTATGCACAACAGAACGAATGAAACACTGCCCGATCCTGGGTCAACCTCACAATTGTTGCCACGCTTGAGCCCATTGATGATTCCACTTTGCAAATCCATCTCTCTGGGGGTTTTCCTCTTTTTCTCTGACCCTCCAGCTTACCAAACATGATATCCTTCTCCAGTGACTGGTCTCTCCTAACAATATGTCCAAAGGATGAGAGACAAAGTTTGGCCACCCTGGCCTCCAAGGAGCACTCTGGCTGCACTTCTTCCAACATAGATCTGTTGGTTCTTTTGGCAGCCCATGGCACTTTCAATATTCTCCTCCAACACCATAACTCAAAAGCATCAATTCTTCTACAGTCTTCCGTATTCACTGTCCAGCTTTCATGTGTATATGAGGTTATTGAAATACCATGGCTTGGGTCAGGCGCACCTTAGTCCTCAAGCTGACATCTTTGCTCTTCAACACTTTAAAAAGGTCTTGTGCAGCAGATTTGCCTAATGCAATTCGTTATTTAATTTCTTAACTGCTGCTTCCATGTGTGTTGTTGACCCAAGAAGAATGAAATCCTTGACAACTTCAATCTTTTCTCTGTTAACAAGAATGTTGTTTATTGGTCCAGTGATGAGGATTTTTGTTTTCTTTACATTGAGATGCAATGCATACCGAAGGAATATAGCAGAGAACAAAATAAGAGAAAATCTCTTTTTTCCTGAGTTTATATTGTGGAGGGGGGGGGTGAGAAAATGAATAAACATAACAAAATAACAAAATTATGTAGTATGCTTATAAACACTATGTAGAAACATGACAAAAGGTGTGTGTGTATGTGTGTGTGTATGTGTGTGTAACAGGGCAGGGGTTGATTTCAGGAATATCAAAATTTTATATCAGAGTAGTTGTGGCATGGTGGAGGGGAGGGGACAAATTGGAGACATGTTTAAGATAAATACACAGTGTTGTGAAGTGCCTTCAAGTCAGTTCCGATTCATACTGATCCTATATAGGGTTTCTGAAGAGCAGCTGTTGAATTTGAACCATCAACCTTGCGGTTCAAACCGACCTTCACTTCAGTGCTTATCCTACAACACGACATCAGGACTCCAAAGAAACAATAAGACTTGGTAACTAACTGGATGTGGAGTCTGAGGAAGAGAGAAATTCAAGATAATGTCAAAGTTCTTCTTTAGGGGTTATTGTTATTGTTAAGTGCTGTCTAGTAGATTCTGACTCACAGCATCCCTGTACAGAGTTTCTGATGAGCAGCTGGCAGGTTTGAATTGCTGGTGTCCTGGTTTGCAGTCCAAGGTTGACCCTACAGCACCACACCAGAAATCCTTTAGGGGGTATCTGACCTCAAATTCACTAAGAATATTTATTCACCTTTTCCTATCCAATTCCTCCCCCAATACAGTTGTGACTACACAAAGTTCCACTTTAGGATAATCTTTCAGTGTAAAGTTTGACTCCTATTAAGGTGTAAAACACTTCCACCAAAGTTTAAAGAATGATCAACTATTCAATCTTGGTTCTTGGATTCTAAGAGTGGGGTCTGTGATTGATGCTTCAGGTTATCTGTGAATCCCTGATATTATAGACAAGAAGGAGGTGCCTGGAAGACTTGGGCGGTGTGGGGTGGGGTGGGGCATGGCAGCGGGAAAGCTGAAGTCCAGAAAGAGAGAGATAAGAACTAGA